ACATACATATACATATCCTTTAAAAAAATGTATGTCCCTTTATTACTTTCCAACCCCACCACCCCTTCCCTAATTGGAGTAAACTAGTGAACAACAATGCTTAGGCCTCTACTTCCAGAATTGTGTTACCGTGGTGTGGACCTGTCCGATGAGAACTGTAAATATGAGAGACAGGCAACCTCTGGGACACTGTTTCCTGTCTACTGCCTTTGTGATCAGTGCCCTTTCTACTGTGTGTGGAAAGAACAGTGTGTGTCCTTAACTCAAATCCATAATTTCCTTGTTCAAATATTCATAGTGGGTGCCAGCGTATATTGTTCTGTAAAGGCAACTTGAAAAGTAGGCAACAACAGAACAGGATTGTTTCACAGTTCAAAAACAGTGGGGGCTGTGTGAACTAATGCCAATATAAATTGACCAGACCTCGTGTGTGTGGGTATGTGTGTTTGTTTGTGTGTGTGTGTATGTGTGGGTTTGCGCGTTTCTTCCCCCTGGCAGAGACAGGTCTCAGGTGAAGTCCACATACAGCCGCAGAACAGGTTCATCAACCAGATCGCCATGACGATGGCCACGGTGGGCATCAGTGTGTCCTTCTACAGCGCCCGGAGGATGGCGGAGAAGGTCCATCTAAAAGAGAATGCTCCCTGAACAGTCAGACAGTGTGACCCGTCAACTGGACCAGAGAGATGGGGGAGAGAGAGGAAGAGAACCAGAGCAGGCTGCAGTGATGCGCTCCATCACCATGCATTGCAGCGGTTGGCACCTTCACTAGAATTCAGGCCCACTCAAAGCTGCCATGCCAAGATGGTTCTGTGGGCTGAGTGTTTGTTGTTGTTGTTGTTGTTGTTATTGTTGTTCGAGAGATTGTCTGTGTTTGTTGGAAGAGGATGGTTATCGGGAGCAGTTTTGTCTTGACAGTGAGACCATGCAGTCCTTAATAAAGAACTGCTGGGTTTGAAAGACGTTTATCTTTGTATTGTGATGGTGGGAAATGTAAGTGTACTGTTGGGAAATGGAAATGTGAATTACCAGTAGTAATGCCCTATAGATTAAAATGACCTAATTACATTTTTACCTAAAGACATTGTTTGAAGATATTAGGCGATCTATACATATCTGCTTTATTTGAAAGATTTCACCATGTAGGCCTAGCCTACTTACTTAGGCTCCATACTAGAATGTCTTTGAACATAGCATGAAGGGATATCACAAATGCGGTACCCTAGTAAACGTTTATTATTTGCTTTAGTGCTTTATCAGTTGAACATGGATGCCATGATAATACTGTAGCTCTGGGTTTAATGACATTTATTTGTATCTTTTATTAACAAGTATTTTTAATAGTTAACATTTTTAACTACCAAATAAAACTCTCTATTAACTCAAAGAAGTTTCAATTATTTATTTGGCTGTAAAATACATATGAAAATAATTTAATGTAATGTAATCATCATAGTCACTGATTTATTTCTGTTTTTTCTGTTGATAAATGTGTGTATATGTCAGTGGTATGTGACCTATCGAGACTTGAGTATTGACCCTTTGTCATTCAACTCTTTGAAACAGTTATGCAATGCCAAAGTGTTGTTGTGGAAATCATTCTAATTCTATGGGGTTATCCATGTGGATGGTACAGTACATTAGGTTAGGGAGTGATATTGTCACACAGTCGGACGGCTGCACTGACTTTTATTGGGTGATTCATGTGAAAAGAAACTGAAGGAGAAAAATGTGGTTATGACACTACATGTATGAGATATCCCATCCAGGGTTGGAAAATTCCAGAAACATTCAATAAATTCCCTGGTTTTCCCGAAATCCCAGTTAGGAGGTTTTCAGATTTCCTGCTTATTCACTTCTGATTCCAAAGTCCTCCAAAGGGGATTTCTGGAAAACCAGGGAATTTATTGAACGTTCCCGGAATTTTGCAACCCTAATCCCATTACAGTGATGCGACTTGCTGCATGTCCTACAATGTGCCCCAATACAAAGTTACAGGTTCCTCATGATCTTTATTGCAAAAAATCTGTGGAAATCTGTGTCTATTGTTCCGTGATTCTCTGGCATCTGCCTGAAGCTCAGTCAATTAGTCAGTCAGTGAGCCAGAGTCGACTGTGAGAACACATACTGGGAATAGACGTGTGATGCTGTGGGAACCGACCATGTTTGAGGAAGAATACTGTGCCTAGTTAAACAGTAATCCTCATGGTACGAACTGTTGTCTTTACTGTCGTTGGGTTGAGGCAGCGCAGACAGTCAGACAGATAATGATGACGTGGGGCGATAGCAGAGAGCACATGCGCTCACTCAGAGAGGGAGATGGGATAAACAGACAGGAGCCAGGACTGCATTGGGGGACACAACGCTCCACCTTCCTGCACTGTCCTCATTATGCATCACTGGACTAACTGCTACTAAAAATTCCTCTGAGGAACTCAGCAGTGCAGAGACTGCAGTGGTAGACAAGGAAGTTGCAGTTGGTTTGATGGCAGAACAGAGTACTCCAATGATATTACAAACATAATCATATAAAGCTTTAGGCTTTTTCATTCCTTTACGCTTCACACTGCTTTCTCCCACCTGGACAAGAGGTGAAAGATACCTAAATGAAAAATCACAAATATGTACAAGAATAAAATAGAGAGAGAGCGTGAGAGAGAGAGTGTGTGTGTGGGGGGGGGGGGGGGGGGGTGGAAGGACAAAGCTTTCCTACGCGGCTCAAATTGGGCACCCACTGTAGATGATGGGATCTCCCACACAGAGCCTCTGTTTCCTGGTGTCTTCCTCTTTGGCTTTCATTGGGTTCATCCAGCCTTTAATGTGGTTGCTATAGTATTCTGTCTGTTTGGTATGGCCACAGCCACCCAGTTGTTATCAGGGTTGGGTAGGTTACTTTCTATATGTAATCCATTACAGTTACTAGTTACCTGTCCAAAATGGTAATCAGTACTATAACTTTTGGATTACTCAAACTCAGTAACATAACCTGATTACTTTTGGATTACTTTCCCCTTAAGAGGCATTAGAAGAAGACAAAATGGATCCATCAAACGCATTTGGTTTGTCATCGTAGCCATCTCTGACTTGTGGTCGGACTCGCTCAGGTGGAACAAACTTAAACTTGCGCCTTTTTTCCAATGCTGAATTGAATGTCATTGAGAAAACAGAAAGGTGTCATAATGTATTATTTTCCGCAAACATCCTTTCTGAATATAAAAGTAATCCAAGGAGTAATCATCTAGTTTTTCAAAAGTATCTGTAATCTGATTACGACATTTTTGCTGGTAAAGTAACTGATTACCGTTACAGGTTTTTTGTAATCTGAATACATGTAACTGATTAAATGTAATCAGTTACTTCCCAACCCTGGCTGTTATGACAATCACACAGAATTGTTTTCATAAAATGGGTATCTCTGACTGCCAATAAGAACTGAGAATATTAAATACAGTAGAATGGAATGTAATTTTACTGTCCATGTTTTGTGAGAAAATTAAAACACACACACCAATTGAGAGGATGGAAGCAGGGGAGATGACATCAGCAGTCCTCTGGTTACAAGCTCATGTCCCGTTTGGTTGGAAACCAATTAGTAATACACTCTTGGACTAGAGTCTTTTGAGCTCATACCACAGAGACTACACTTTATACAGTGCATTCAGAAAGTATTCAGACCCGATCCCTTTTCCACATTTTGGTACGTTACAGCTTTATTCTAAAACTGATTAAATTAAAAATGTTCCTCATCAATCTACACACAATACCCCATAATGACAGAGTGAAAACAGGTTTTTAGAAATTTCGGGAAATGTATTAAAAATAAAAACAGAAAGACCTAATTTATATTACTATTCAGACCCTTTTGCTATGAGACTCGAAATTGAGCTCAGGTGCATCCTGTTTCCATTGATCATCCATGAGATGTTTCTACAACTTGACTGGAGTCCACCTGTGGTAAATTCAATTGATTGGACATGAATTGGAAAGGCACACACGTGTCTATATAAGGTCCCACAGTTGACAGTGCATGTCAGAGCAGAAACCAAGCCATGAGGTCGAAGGAATTGTCTGTAGAGCTCTGAGACAGGATTGTGTCGCGGGAAGGGTACCAAAAAATGTCTGCAGCATTGAAGGTCCCCAAGAACACAGTGGCCTCCATCATTTGTAACATCCAAGACTCTTCCTAGAGCTGGCAGCCCGGCCAAACTGAGTAATCGGGGGAGAAGGGCCTTGGTCAAGGAGGTGACCAAGAAACCCGATGGTCACTCTGACAGAGCTCCAGAGTTCCTCTGTGGAGATGGGAGAACCTTCCAGAAGGACAACCATCTCTGCAGCACTCCACCAATCAGGCCTTTGTGGTAGAGTGGCCAGACAGAAGCCACTCCTCAGTAAAAGGCACATGACAGCCCGCTTGGAGTTTGCCAAATGGCACCTAAATGACTCTCAGACCATGAGAAACAAGATTCTCAGGTCTGATGAAACCCAAGATTGAACTCTTTGGCCTGAATGCCAAGTGTCACGTCTGGAAGAAACCTGGCACCATCCCTACGGTGAAGCATGGTGGTGGCAGCATCATGCAGTAGGGATGTTTTTCAGCGGCAGGGACTGGGACACTAGTCAGGGTCGAGGGAAAGAGAGATCCTTGATCAAATCAAATCAAATCAAATTGTATTGGCCACATGCGCCGAATACAACAGGTGTAGACATTACAGTGAAATGCTTACTTACAGCCCTTAACCAACAATGCATTTATTTTTTTTATAAAAAAAGTAAAATAAAACAACTACAAAAAAGTGTTGGAAAATAGAGCAAAAATAAAAAACGTAGGGAGGATATAAATA